GAGACCATCAGCAAGGCGACACATTGCTTCCCAATCCGTCTCCCGCTCTCGCTGTGCATCTGCTTGGGCGCGATGCCATTCTGCAGCTTCATCCAAGAAGTCCTTCAACTTCTTCTGGTTGCTGTGGACGAAGACTTGGGCTTCGTGAGACCCATGCTCCTGCATGTACGCCAAAATGGCGGCTTTGGTTCGCAGGCCTTTGCTAATGATTAAGGCTGTCAAATCCAATTTGCTAAATCGAGGTCGCTTGATCTCTGGGTCCACAGACGCTTGCTTCTCTGCGTCCTGCGTGAGGTATGGGTTGACAGCAAAACCATGCGCACATGTGTTTCTTTTATTGTCAAACCCTTTGATTAAAAAGCATAATTCCGTGGAAAACATGTCCGGCCTCTCTGCGACGCTTCCAGATCTCTGCTGTCCACGGTTGCTGCGACTCCTCGTACAGATCCAACGAGTTCCAGCCTTCTGGTCCCCAGGATAATGGCTCAGAGTCGACAAGTGGCTTCTTAGCAGTGGGCGTGTACCCATATCTGACAGCGCTCCAGAACTGTGTGTGAGAAGAGGAGAAGTGGGCAACAAGGCCATCCCTAACTCGCAGCGTTCGCTTGGCTGACGCAAATGTGCGTGGTTGTCGGAGTAGAACAGCCACATGAAAATGGTAGTCTCCATCTTCATGCTGCTCCCGAAAGACGACTAGCTTGCTAACCAGCCCTTCGGTGCGCGTACATGGTCGACCTCTTCTGCCTGCACCTGCAGGCACTGGGTTGTCGAAAGCCTTCCAGACGCAGACTGCAACCTCCTGTCGTGACAGGCCACTGACATTGCGTAGATCTCCACCTTCCAGTGTGTCTGGCAGCAGGCGCGAGAACGTCAAGAGATGCACAAGGACCTTTTTGGAGGCGTCTTGCTCCCCAAGCTCTTGCAAGAGAGCCTGAAAGACTTCCTCTGAGGTATGTTGGACGTCCGGAGCAGGATCAGCCGCTGACTCGTCCGCCACTTGAGCGCCGGGCGCGCTGTCCGGCTCAAGAGCTGCGTTGCGCGCAGAGTCGTGTCGTTCAGCGTCCATGTCCCACAGCGGCAAGCGCCACACCCTCTAGTGCATGAGCCACCACAAAAAAAGCAAGTAATACCAATGTTCATGTCAAACACTACATGGTCAAGCTGGCTGGCTGGCTCAGAACACGTGGACGGATGGATGGGTTTCAAAGCAGGTACCTAGGATCTAAAACGTCATCTCCCGCTTTTTTGTCAGCTTGTCCGAAAAATCATCAAGGCCCCTGCTTGACTTCAATTTTCCAGTGCCCCACATAAGGTCTCGAACCACGCCCCTTGGACCTGTTCACGCGCGCGCAAACATGCACGCGCGCAGGATTCACTGGCCCTGCCAAATTCAAGCTTCGGAAGGTGAGGAAAGCAGTGCAAAAATGTCATATTTTTTGTGAAGCAAAAAGCCAGTGGCTGTCCTGGAGCACATCTGCTCTGGTTATCGTATGCTCTTGGAACACGAACGTTATTATGGTTTGGGCATGGATGCTCTGGTTATCGTATGCTCGGAACACGAACGTTATTATGG